TTCTGTGGGCAATTTGAAACTTTTTATTCTGTCTCTTATAACAAATGATGATCCTACACCAGAAGTTGTTTTAGATGCATCTGTGTAAACTTGGGTATATTCAGGGAAAGAAGAAAGTATTCTATTATAATTGCTTATAAATATTTGTGGATTAGTTTCAGATTTATGATATGATGATAGTTCTAAATTTAAAGTAGGCAAAGGCATTAACCAGGGAGGTGGCGTGTTTATGTTTGCTGAATGTGTTGAGGGAAAGTTAAAAATTTCAATAGAGTTTTAAATGTTTTTGATCCTTAATTGAAATGGTAAATGTGTTCTTATATTGATATTTGATAACGATGACTGAGTAAGAAAATGGTTGTCAGGTTGTAGTGATGATTGTTTTGAAGCGTAAGATAGACTAAGTAATTTCCGTCGTTCATGTAATGATGGCTCTCCAAGTTCCCACTCGAGGCTTGCAACAGGAGTTGTTCTATAAGCTCCAGAGATTATGCGTAATGCATTGTTGTGTATAACGTCTAAGATTTTTAAATTTGACTTCGACGCTGAAGAATATGCAATGCATCCGTAGTCCAATTTAACTAAATTTTCTATAACCAAATTCATGAAAGTTCGCATACTTATTCCAAATAAGCACTTTCGAAATAATATCTGTTCAGCTACATTAATAAACAACCAGAATTTATTGGAAATATCGATGTTACTATAACACAACGTGTTAAGACATAATTGCAATATGAGATTCAAATTAGAGTAACTAATATAGTGTGGAAAGCTTACTTCAAAGTACAAAATTGCAATAGCGGTTTGTCGTGTGTATCAAATAATTGACAGCAATTTCTCCCTGATGGTGTATAAATAGATCCGTATTTGTAATTTTAATATATAAGTATATACAGGAGATTTCAATATTAATATTTCAGGTTACTAAAAATAATTTATGGCAGTTATTTTTTTAATGCAATATAATTAAAGTTTAGCAAAGATATTTTTATATTATATTTTATTTAACATATATACAGAGTGGCCCAAAAGTCTGGAAACGGCTAATTATCTTATAAAATGCTAATCATAATTGTACAAAATTTGAGGTACACCTATTTTGGGATACGTAGATTCCATATTTGATATTTACAATGTTGCCAGATTTGCCGTTTTTCTTATATTATTAGTAACTTTGGTTTTTCAAATACATCACCCTATATATTCAGTCACTATTAGAATCTCCTATTCAATACGAGTTCAACCATATGTAACACTTATGATTTTATGTAATCTGGAAGGTCATAAATACATAAAACCGAAGTCTGGCAACGCCTAAATTGTTTCAATAAATTTTTTAATACTAACTATTTTCAAATACATTAAAACGTAACAATTGATAGTTTAGAACATTTTTTAACATAGTAGTTACGTTATTAAGTGTTCAATTGTGCTCAATTTGTGAGTTGACAGCACCCTAATCGATGGTAGAAGGCGTCTACCACATTTCTCCATGATTGTCTAGAAATTATTCGATTTTCATTGATAATTCGTTGCCTTAGCTCTGCAAGACTTGCTGGTTAAGTTGTGTAAACTGAATTTTTCAAGTATCCCTAATAAAAATAATCTTTAGGATTGAAATCGGGTGAACGTGGAGGCCATTCACTTCTACCTTGTCTACCAATTTATTGTCCAGGAAATATCTCATCTAAATATCGCCGAACATTTACACAAATTATCTGACGTTAAATTTCTTTCGACAAAAAATGACCCAATTGAATAAGTAACTACTATATCTGACCATACATTTAATTTTTGTGGTCTTTGAGTATGGTTTTCACGCATTCAGTCTTCAGTGTGAATTTACGTCACACCAGTACCTTAAATTGTGTCGATTTACACTTCCACACAGTGTAAAAGTTGCTTATCGGAAAACATATTCTGTTAACGAAATTTAATAATTTTCAATTTTATCCATCATTACCTCAGTAAACTTTAATCTACGACCAAAGTCATCTTCACTTAATTCTTGCAATAAGTTAATTTTGTATGATTTAAATTTATTTTTACGTAATAAACGTAAGACTGAAGAATGACCTACATCATGTACTTGTGCAACCCTGCCTGGGGATGTATGTGGATCTTCAACAAAACTTTGCTTATATCTGAAGTTTTTTTGTCATTGATTCTCGTTTCGGTCAATCTGATCGGTATCTATCTTTTACTTTTCCAGATTCCTCAAATCGCCTTACAGTTTTTTGTACCGTCGTCTTATGAATAGAAGAACGATTTAGAGAACGGCATTTTAGAGAAGCAATTTAAATTGCAGAACTGTTTGAACCACAACTGCTGTCAATTTTAGTTCATAATTTAAATGGTGAACCAATGTCAAAATCACAGCATTCTCCATTTAAATATTTAAATTTATTAAAATCTACATATTTTGCACTGTTTTATGTATTTAAGATCTTTCAGACTACATAAAATCAAGTGAACATATGGTTGAACTCGTATTGAATAGCTGAACTCCTGTGAAATTCGCACTGAATGCGTGAAAACCATACTCAAAGACCACAAAAATTAAATGCATGGTCAGTTATAGTAGGTACTTACTTAATTGGGCCATTTTTTATCTAAAGAAATTTAACGTCAGATAGTTGGTGTAAATGTTTGGCGTTATTTAGATGAGATATTTCCCGGACGATAAATTGGTAGACAAGGTAGAATTGAATGGCCTCCACGTTCACCCGATCTCTATCCTAAAGATTATTTTTATTAGAGATACTTGAAAAATTCAGTTTACAAAACTTAACCAGCAAGTCTTGCATAGCTAAGGCAATGAATTATCGATGAATCTCGAATAATTTCTAGACAATCATGGAGAAATGTGGAAGACGCATTCTACCATCGATTAGAGTGCTGTTAACTCACAAATGGAGCACATTTTGAATACTTAATAACGTAACTATTATGTTAAAAAATATTCTAAACCATTAATTGTTACGTTTTAATGTATTTGAAAATAGTTAGTATTAAAAAATGTATTGAAACAATTTAGGCGTTGCCAGACTTCTGCTTTATGTATCTAAGACCTTCCAGACTACATAAAATCATAAGTGTTACATATGGTTGAACTCGTATTTAATAGGAGATTCCAATAATTTTTGAATATACAGGGTGATGTATTTGAAAAACCAAAGTTACTAGTAATATAAGAGAAACTGAAAATCTGGCAACATTGAAAATACCAAATATGGAATCTCCGTGTCCCAGAATAGGCATATCTCTAATTTTGTATAATTATGTCTAGTAATTTACGAGATAATTAGCTGTTTCCAGACTTTTGGGCCACTCTGTATATAGAAAATAAGATAGTCATAAGAAACATTCATTTGACTTTTGGTCTAGCTTTCGGAATTGTTTATTCCTTTTTTAAGACACTGTAATAAAAAGAATGTGTAAATATTTACAAAAAATCGTAATTCATCAGTGCAACTTACTAGTCGTTGAGATTATATAAAAAGCTTTGACATTCAACATTAATAACATATATATAAAATATAAAATAATGGACAAAATACATTCTAACATTTTTAAAATTTGAATATGAATGCAAAACTTAGCTTACGACATCTTTTAATGGTATGTTTTAACTCTGATACATAAAGAACAGAAAGAAAAAACAGTATGATTAAAATGTGGTAATTAATTAGGTGTTCTTAAAGTTGTAAAACTTTTATTTGGGATTTTACAGTATTCACTGCCTTCCCTCGCTCAACCGTTTCCATCTCTCTGATGTCCCATTCTCCATCGTTTTGGCCTTTCTTACTCAGAGCCCTCTTCGTCCTCTTTCCCTCCTTCCTATGGGGCTCCATTTGGTTATTTTCTTTATCTATCTGCTGTTTACATGTCCATACCACTTTAGACTTTTTTATTCTATATATGTTAGTATGTCTGTTCCTATTGATGTTATTTGCTTTATTTCATCATTACTTCTCGTATCCATTCTTGTTACTCTGTAGCATCTTCGCAGGTATTCAAGATCTGGTGCTACTATTCTACTGCTGTGATTTCTTCCGTCATGACGTTTCTCCTTGGTGATCAGGGTGCCTGTGTATGTGAATTTGTCCACCATCAAAGGTAGAGTTATGAACCGTGAATTGGTGGCCGATGTTTCTGGCTCTATTTGGGTTGATGCATTATCTTAGTTTCTCCTCATTTACTTGCAGGCCCATATTTTTTAAGGCATTTAAAAAGTTGGTGTACATTTCATCTATCTTGCGTGTTGTGCGGGCAACTAGTTCAACATCATCTGCATATACCAAAATTTGGGATGATGAAAAAGGTAAAATGATATTATATCAATAAAATAACAGCGATTACAAATTTATAAAGGTTTAACCATATTTTAATAATGTCAAACGCTATAAATAACCGCTGTCATTAATTTTTTGTTGATACGTTCACAAATTTTAAACATTTTCCAAAAATACACCCAACATATATATATCAGGAACACTGGCCGTAACTGTAACCAACAAATCTCGCAGATAAAACGCTATCCGCGGCTTTTCTCTTTTTCCACAACAGTAAACATATTATTATTATATAAATCATCTGCGCACCAGTTCGAATATCAAAAGACTACGAGCGAACAGGAAGAAATGAAAAGAAACACATTTTACCAAGCCGTGATCCAAAAACGTATGCACGACCTCCCTCTGAGGGTAAATTTAGGGGTCTATGAAGAATTAAAATTGGTTTTGTCTTGAGTGGCCACTGGACCGACAGGAGGAAGTTAATGAACTTCTGTAAGTTTACTTGTGCGTATAAAAATCTGAGATCCAAAATTAAATTACGTATTTTTGGTATCCATATGTGCCCATAAAACTTTTTAATTGTGATATATTTAATTTCTAGTGGAATTATTTTGTTGGGCTTTCTATAAAATAATTTGTATTATAAAAGACACTAAAATGATATTCAATTAATCGACAGTATTTTTGTTTTGTTTACAGGTGCACAGAACAAACCGGATACTTACATTGTAAACGAATGGGACAATGTCCTCCTTCAATGTTTGGCATCTGGTAACCCGCCTCCTAGAACCTTATGGCAACGTCTGGATAATAAACCAGTTGTAATGGGAACATGGCAAGGTACGTACTATCAAACAGATCTTTCAAAATTAAAAAAGAGTTATTATTTCAGAAGAAAAACAAATGATGCAAATACCGAATAAACAAACCTTATGTGAGTGCCAATATGAGAACAAAAAAAATTTGGCGTGCCACTAAAATTTTTCGACATACTAATATGAATACTATATATTAATAATATACGGTACAATATGTATTTCTTATGTAAATTCCACATTTTTCCGTTTAGCCAAGATAGTGGAGGTTTAAAAAATAACGTAATAAGTAAAACATAACAACAAACTTACTTTATTGTTAATAAAAATAAAATAAAAACGTTAAACAAAAAAACTTAAATATTTTCTTATTATCTAAAATTCAAATTATTAAACAGTTACTTATTTAATGTGGTATTTGAACTTGTATTTTTTTAATTAATTCATCTATATTGGGATTAATTTCGGAACAAGCCAACAGAATTAGATTTTTTAAATGCATGTCAGTTATCGTGACCGATATTTTGATTTTATTATGTTCATAATAGAGAACATTTGCTCACAAACGTACGTTAAACCAAATCTATAATATCTCAGAGCTAACTCGTGTAAATTAGGAAAATTGTTTGCTGGTACAAATTTCCAAAATTCAATATAATTGGGATCAGTAACAGTTGAAATAATTTCCCTATATTTGGTTTTTAGTATAGTGTGGTTCTGTAAATCAATAATTTCGATCTGTATTTCAGCTGAGTAACAATTGATATCTTGCAGAGAAATAGAAAAAGGATTTATGAAAAGGTCAACATTCATTTTGTCTTTTTGAAAATCTTCAAACCGTGTATTGAATGAACCTAGCAAAATAGATAAAGGGTTTTTAAATCTGTCATAATTTGGAGTTCTACTGACCTTGTTGGCTAATTCCTGCATTATTGTGAAATGTGTCAATCTCTGTTCTCCAAAATCGTTACAAAAAAGCATAAGTTTATTCACAAAAGAAGATATATGACCAACTAGAGTAGGAAAAATACAATTTTTTCCCTGTAATCTTAAATTTAATAGATTTAAATGTCTCATAATATCAGTGAGAAAAGCTTAATCCTAAAGCCAATCTTTATCATTAAGTAACGAGCACTCACTGGGTAGTTCATTGTTTTCTTGCAAATATTTTAAGACGCACTCCTTCAAGTTCCAAAACCTTTCGAGTGCATTTCCTTTGGAGAGCCAGCGCACACTGCAATGGAGAAGTAACTCTCCATCTTGCTTTCCGTTTCTTCCGCGAACAGTTCTCGAAATTGTCGTCGATTCAATGCCCGAGCTCGTATTTTGTTAATGCAGCGTGTTACAAAGTCAACAACAGATGACATGTTTAGGTCCTTGGCACAAAGAGCTTCCTGGTGAATAATACAATGGTACTTAAAAACTTTTCTTCCCAAATAGTTTTCCAGTAATGTAACAAACCCCTTTAGTCTACCAACCATGCAAGGAGCTCTATCTGTACAAACACTATCTAATTTTGACCATTCAACTTTGTTGACTTCGATTACGTTTTTAAGCTGTTGAAAAATGTCCTCTCCTGTTGTTGTGACTAGTTGGCGCAAATCCAGAAGCTCTTCGGCATTTTCAAAATTATCATTGGTATAACGGACAAAAATGCTTAACTGCGCATTTTTTGTGTTGTCACAACTTTCATCCAACGCTAAAGAAAAGAATTTGCAGGATTGTAATCCACTTATAATTTGGGAAACAACATCCTGGCCCATATCATCTATACGGCGCATGACTGTATTTTGGGATAATGCAATATTATCGACCATATTTTTGATCTTTACATCTCCCACATTTTTAGCAAATATTGCCAGACTATTTTTAATTATCTCCTCTCCATCAGAGTAGGCTTTTTTCTTCCGGGCTAACAGCAGAGAAAGTTCATATGATGTTTTAACCATAGTTTCCATTTCATCACTTCTCTTCTGAAACAGTGACTGTTGGTTGGCTAGGGTTTTCTTTTTTTTTTTCAATAAAGTCGGCTCGCAAATGTGAACCAATAGGATATTTGTTGCTGAAGTCCTTATGCAGTTGTTTATAATGTCGTTCCAGGTTAAATTTTTTCGGAACTGCTACAGACAATCCACATATCAAACAAACAGGTTTTTGAAGTATTACGATTAGTAAATAAAAATTGTTCTTCCCAAGCAGGTTGAAAATCGCGAATTGCAATATCATCTTCGTATTTTCGTTTTGAAGTCGAAGGCTTACTCGTGGACATATCGAACAAATACTTTTAAAATTTTAAAGAAACAATGCGCGATGACAAAATGTGCACATACAACGGGGCAGTTATTTTCTTTGTTATCTTCAAGGGTTTTTCTCAGAAGTAGTAAAATTTGTAAGCAATTAATTTTGATTGATGTTGGACAATATGGAAGCTTTCAAACTGCCTGTAAAGTTGAGGAAAGTTTAAAATGTCCCGTTTAATAATGCAAAAACTTAACACGTATCATTCTGTTCCGGTTTGACAAACTTCCAACAATGCTTTTAAGAAAAATATTCGTTTAATAAAACGAATATGTATAATGCAATAAAATATTCGATTAATCAAAAAATAATTAACGCGGAAAAGTTATATGTCTCGATTTAACGCTTCAACGTATATTATCGTCCGTAAATATGCCGATTTTCCCAAAAGCTCTGGTTGTTTGTATATGTATATAACTTTTATATCCAACTTTTTTAAAACATTTTAAAATTATCTTTTGCTAAATTTTACTTTTATTTTCATTTCATTTGTATTTTATAAGCTTTTTGCCAAAGTTTTACGAACTTTTTAAAAAAATATTTGTATTTTACGTATAAAATGAATATTTTAACTTAACATACATTTAGCTTTTCATGTGTTTTTTATATTCCTAGTGATTGAACTTCTCCAATAGTTTTCCCGGTTGAAAAATAGACAAAGTCAAGTCCATATAAAAAGAAGAAGGATAAGACTATTAATGTAGATATAAACTGTTATTTCTATATGTTTTAAACTATTATTTTGTCAATGTAATAAAACCTAACAGTATTGCTCAAAATAGGAAAAAATTAAACTACGAAAATTCCATGCTTATTTCAATTTGCAGTTATATTCACACAACAAAAAATTTTAATATTTCAATATCTATTACTGGTAAATTAAAAATACCTGCCATTAAAATAGCTTATCTCCAATCAAGCTTTTCAATCGAAAAATAGAATATTTTTTATCCTTTCTATAGAAGCGAAATATTTTCAAGCACAATATTAAAAACGATTTTTTTTAAATATGCCTGTTTTATTTTGCGTTCAGTTTTTTCTTTCTCTCCTACTGATTAAAAAACAAACAAAAGCTAAAAGTTATAGGAAAGTTATAGCATTTAGGAAAAGTATTAATGTTTATCGTAGTAAAAATTAAAATTTCAGGCGGATTACAACAATTTTTTCATATTTTTATGGCTTAAAGCACACTTATTGTATGTCCGTAAATGTACTTTTTGAGTAAATCGATTTTAAATGTTTGAGCTCTTGTAACACTGTGTTACATTCAACATTAAACTTCGTATAATTTTTTTTATGCTACGTCATTAAATGAAAGATATTTTAAAAATTGCTCAAGATTTTTAATCAGAATTGTATAAGCGAGAAGAACTTCCAGATCTTGATCAAAATCAAATATCAAAAGTTCAAAATGTAGCCTCAGAAGACATCGCAGATATCACAACAGAGAAAATAAAATCAGCTCTCTCGGAGATGAAAAACAATAGATCACCTGGAGAAGATGGGATAGTCATTGAACAAGTCAAAGAAGGAGGAGGAACGTTAGTAAATGTGTTGAAAAAGTTGTCCAATGCTTGTTTGACAAGATACGTAACCCCCTTCCAGTGGCATAATGCAATAATAATCATAATGCACAAAAAGGTGACATTTATACGAAGCTTGTGTCCGCTTTCATGAAGATACCAAGAAGTTTAGAATAGAACATGGAATTAGACAGGGTGACTTTATCTCCCCTAAATTGTTTACAGCTGTTCTTGAATATATGTTTAAGCAAATGGAACAAGAGGATAATATGGGAATTAATATAAACGGGGAAGATTTAAACCACCTAAGATTTTGTAATTATTGCATGTCTTATGCATACAATATTCTACTCTCTCTCTTTTGATTGCCAAGAGCACAGATATTGTATATATGGACATGCAACAATTGTTCCCTTTATAATACATTTTTAAGCTTAATTCACAGTTTTAAAATGTCATTTTTATCACACCAAACGCTTTGGGACAAGGAATTAACTCGCAACAATAGAACAGGAAATTCGGGAACACTGAAAGATGCAAATGGGAAACTTGTGTTGAATACTAACGACAAACTAAATAGATGGGCAGAATACATCAATAAACTGTTCAATAGAACAGAACAGATAGAGATAGAAGTAGAAGAGGATATGGTTTTAAAGATATTAAAAGAGAAAATTTAAATGGCATTAAAAAACAGCAAAAATGGTAAAGCATTAGGTCCAGACCAAATCCCTATAGAAATCTTAAAATGCATGAATGGTGAAACCTTAGACAATATAGTATACTTATTTACCTCAGTACACAAAACAGGACACATACCGAAACAATTGTTACTCTCCACCTTTTGTGCTATCCCTAAAAATACAAACGATTTGACAAAGCATTTGACAAAGTAAGACATGAAAAATTAGCCCAAATTATAAATACAGATGACATAGACCATAGGGACTTACAAATAATAACAAACCGCTACTAGAATCAAAGAACACAAATCGTAATAGATAACGAACTCAGTTCAGAAATTGAAATCAGGAGAGAACTTAGGCAGGGATGTATTATGTTCCCATTACTATTTAATGTATATCGTAAAGCAATTTTGAAGAGCATTACAATCTCAAAGTGAAGAAATAATAATTAACGACAAAATAGTTTTTGTAAAAAATATGGACTAAAAATGAATATAAAAAAGACCAAATACATGATAAAAACAAAGAAAACAAATATACCAACAAACATACATTTGGGAAATATACCGATAGGAAAGGTTGATAACTACAAATACCTAGGATCCTGGATTTCAGACAATAATGATCAAACAACCGAAATAGGAGCTAGGATAGAAATAGCAAGAAATGCGTTTGTAAAAATAAAAACAATTCTCTGCAACAAAGATCTTAGATTAGAACTGAGAGTAAAAACACTAAGATGCTACGTGTTTTCGAAACTGCAATATGGACTTGAAAGCTGGTCATTGAAGCAAGAACACATAAATAAGTTACAGTCCTTTGAAATGTGGTGTTACAAGAGGATGCTTAGAATAGCATGGGCACAGAAGAAAACTAACACGGAAGTATTGCAAGAAATGGGCAAAGAATGCGAAATAATAAACACAGTAAAAATAAGAAAGTTACAACATTTGAAACACGTAATAAGGGGACAGCGATATGAACTGCTAAGGCTGATAATACAGGGAAAGATAAGAGGAGGAAGGAGTATAGGAAGAAGGAGATTGGAGTATAGGAAGATATGTCATTTTTGAAGAATTTAAGGGACTGGTTTAAATGCAGTTCTATAGAAAAATTGGGCATAAAATAAGTGTGCTTTAAGTCATCGATTTATATTGTATTTTCTTTGTAATTAACAATTGCTTTTGAAATAAACATAAATCAAACAATTAAGACATCTATACAGTTGATACCTATACCCGTGTTACCAAACAATATATTTTCCCTCTCAACAAATATAACTCTGTTAGTTAAAATTTGACAGTTTGTTTAGTATCGACTGAATGATTCGCAAACCAATAATTTAGGCAAACTATAATTAATTTCAGCAAAGCATATTTGAACTGAAGTTTGTGTTTCCTTGTTGCAGAACTGCAAGTTCCGGGACCGAATCTAAGTATTCCACGCATAACACGAGATCACATGGGAATCTACGTATGTATAGCTGATAACGGAGTTCCGCCACAAGCAAACAAAACGTATCTCGTTGAGGTGCATTGTAAGTAACCTAATTATATTTATACGGGGGAGGAAATATTTACAAAAAATATTTTGTTATTTATATTTCATATATCTGTATAAATAAATATATATATAATATATATATATATATTTATATATATATATATATATATATATATATATATATATATAAGGAAAAGAAGTCTCTGCTGCCTACGTTAGAAAACGGAGCTTTGAGGTTTATTGGGATTTGCAGCGGTGAAATAAGAGTGTAATCTTTTTTATCAGGAAAAACTCAAAGTGCGACTGTTACCAAATCATCAGCGAAATCTGTTAAGAATGTGAAGGTTGTAAAAACTTACGTTATTGAGATTTGTCTTTCGTGGATGTTCTACTCACAGGTGACAAACTCACGCACCACTCATTGATTGAGTCAATAAATAAAAAATATAAAAATTGCATGGTGTAAAAGATCAAACTTGACAATTGATTCTATTTTAACACGTAAGAAAAACACGATTACAAATATTTAAAAAGGCCACGTGTGCCGGCCGACTGTGGAATGTTAGGTTAAGGCTTATCCTCGATAATTGTAACGGTAAAATTCAGAGAGATGTCTATTTCAAAAATATCTTTCTTTACAAAAACAAAATCCATTCACGAAGAATATTCTAAACGTCATCTTGTACTAGAGGTAAGCTTTATACCTACCTTATACAACCCCTATTGTGTAAAGTCTTGGGTCTATACAATAAACGACTGGGCGGCCTTCTATTCAGTGTGGTTTTGAAATAATGTTGAATAAAAACATTCATGAAATTAAAATGAAAGAATTTACGTCTATTAGTAGAAGTGCGATTTATAAAATTAGTACTTGAAGCATAAATCGCGGGAGGAATATGTGCATCAGTTTTCAATATTTATTATTTACTATATAATTTCTAAATTGAACCACTTTCACTTCTTTAGTTAACAATGTATCTGTTTTGACAACTAAATAGGACAAAATAATTATTAATTTCAAAACAGGAGTTTAAAGAATTAGAAAGAGGTAGCCCGGGCCCAGATAAATGGTCAAGCTTATTCCAGTGGAAGCAATAAGGAGGATTATTTTTCGTTTTGGCACAGCTGACATGCTCTCTCTAGTACTACAACCCATGAAACTGTGGTAAAAAGCATGCTTTATTTATACGGTTGTGAAACACGACGATTAACAGAGACAGATTAATATCGAAGAAAGATATCTCGTCGAACTTAATGCAATAAAGTATGAGAATAGAAGGTACAGTCATGGATGGCATACAACGAAAGCAGCTCAAATGGGTACAGGTCCAATAAATGAAAGACAAGAGACTCCTAAAACAAGTACCTGTATGAACACCTACCGTAATCCAGAAGAGAGGATTACCTTAGAAAACACGGATGGAAGGAATAAGAAACTTAATGAGCTCGAAAGAACTTAAAGAACAATGGAACAACCGAATTGAATGAAAAATGAACGTCGGAAGACATTTTATAAGTATTATATCATATTATAGGTACATTTTTTGGACTAAAAATAAATTTGAAAAAACCAAGTTCATGGTATTTACAAAAGCACAAAGCATCAAAGTTAAGCTAGTACTAGATAATACAGAAATTGAACAAATATCTTTGTACAAATACCTTGGAGCATGGATCACAGAAGATACTGATTAGACAAAAGAAATAAGATGCCGCATTGGAATTGCACGATCAACTTTTAATAGAACGAGAAAACTTTTTTGTAATCGAGATATCAATATATCGCTCCGGATAAGAATGCTTTGATGTTATATTTTCTTTACCCTTTTATATGGGATTCAAGCTTGGTCACGGATCGCAAAACAACCGAACAAGTTCTCGAACAACTAGGAAAACAATGCGAAGTTTTAAATTCCATAAAAATCAGGAAATTAGAATACTTGGGGCACATCATACATCACACATCAAGACGTAAAATCTAGTGGTTACGTAATCTCCGTGAATGGTTTGGATGCAATTCAACTGAACTATTCAGGCGCATATCCAACGAAATGATAATTGCCAGAATGATTTCCAATCTCCGATAGGAGTGGAACTTGAAGAAGAAGAATAAGTACATTATTATTATATCATATTATATATATATATATATATATATATATATATATATATATTTATATAATATATGATATAAACGATATTGAAAGAGGTTACAACATAGACAATCAACAAAATCTACATCGACAACTACACAGTGAACACCCAACAATAATAGAAGTGTCAAATGCCGTCCTAAAACTCAAAGACAATAAAGCCACAGGAATCGATTAAATCTGTTGGAAAATATATAAAAAAAGGTGATGATCAGCTTTTTGCAGTAACCCATAAACTAATAGTACTTATATGGCAAAATGAATTTGTTCCAGAAGAGTGGCGAAATTAAATAATATACGTTGCATAAAAAGGACGATTAACTGGATTGTAAGAACTATAGAGGCATTACTCTGTTAGCATCTTCACCTGTTTAGCACCCTGCTTGGCAGGGTCACATATCAGATCAATTTTACGGTTGCAAAAGGCTTGAGACTGGGAGATCCTTTATCCACTACATTATTCAAATTAGTATTAGAAACTGTAATCAGAAAATGCAGCATGAAGATGGAAGAAACGATCATGAAACATGAGCACCAGTGCTTGGCATTTGCTGATGATTTAACGATCCTAGCAAAAACCGAGTAAGAATTAAGAAGAGTTGTGAAGAAAATCATCGAAGAAGCACAGAAATTTGGACTGGAACTAAATCAAGACAAAACTAAATATATGATCATAGAAGGAACAGAAGGAAAAAAGAAGACTTTAGTATGAGGTCAGTAAGTGGTAAAAGCTATAGTTTTAAAAGGGTGGACAAATTTGAATACCTAGGTGTAGTTTTCGATGAAAATGGAAAAGATAAATGGGAGCTCGTAGCCAGAATAGCAAAAGGGAATAAAAAATTAGGTGGTTTAAGAGCCCTACTGAACTCAAAATACGTTTCTAGACAAGGTAAACTCAGAATATATAAAACAGTAATTCGACCCACAGTAACATATGCCGGTGAGCCTGGACATTAAATAAGAAGGAAGAGGATACTCTGGAAAGATGGGAAAGGAAAATATTGAGATGTATATTCAGAGGACGAAAGGCAGAAGATGGTTGGGAAAGAAGAACCAACAATGAATTAATGGCTTTATACAAAGAACCTACTATTACCAAGTTCGTCAAGGCACAAAGAATCAGATGGTTGGGACATGTGGAAAGAATGGCAGCAAACAGAATTCCTAAACTAGTGTTAACCAGAAAATTAATCGACCCCAAAAGAAGAGGGAGACCCAGAACGAGGTGGATTAGTAAAGCGGAGGAAGACCTTAAACACGTGAAGGTGAGGAAATGGAAAAAAAGCACAAAATAGAAGCGAATGGAAAAATATTGTACACCAGGTCCTTCAGAGTAGTTAAGAATGTTATATATACATATTTACGTTAAAGTTTTGTTTAAAATAATTGTAATTAGTTAATATTAGAATAATGTTGTAAAAAAAATGCTTTAGGCCTTAACGGCCTATTGTACGTAAAAATAAATAAATAATAGAGTGCAAAAATCGAAAGAATCGCGTTTTTTGCATTAATTGTTAATCATTAAAAAACGGCTCCGAACTTTACGCAGGAAACAGGTAGGTTTTCTTCTTATAGGTCTACAATAACTAAAAAAATTGTCAGCTACCTGGATTATTGAGTGTCACGAGAAAATCCTTATTAGCCTGGACTAATATGGCTGGACAAGCAAGTGAAGAAACAAACTTCATATATTATGTAAACTTTACTAACAAAAACGTTGAAAATAAATATTCCTATAAATATAAATAATCAAATTCCATATTTAAATACAGCAAAATATTTGGATATTGTCCAATTAATATAAATAATCAAATTCCGTATTCAAATACTGCAAAATATTTGAGTATTACTCTAAGCTTTTATGTAAAGAAGAAAAGAAAATAATAATTCTGATTGAAATACAATAAAATGTACTGGCTGATTGACCAAAATTCTACGCTGTTTCTACATAATAAATTATTATATAAGCAAATACTGAAACAATAGTATTATTATAAAAACAGTATAAACATTTAGAGGAAAATGTTACAAATTAACAGAAAATATTTCTATTCATATAAAAATTTAATCAAATTATAGGTACTTATTATAGGTACTGCTTATTTATATAAAATTTCCTCAATCGGAACATAAACTTCTTCGTGAACTACCATTTTAAAAACAATTAACACACTGGTTTGTCAAAAGTCGAAATAAACCCTAATAATGTTATTCAACATTATTTATGACCCACCTTCGAGAGGGTATTATACTTCTTACCTAACCAACCTAACCGTGTCGACGAGAATCCAGAAACTATCGACAAGGACAGCCTGTACTGGCCGAGAGAGAAAGTTACATTTAGCAAAATTTGAGATTTTAAAAAAAAGTTTATATCAAATAGCTGCTTTGTGTTACACTTTATGTTAAAAATAAAAGCAGATTCGGAAAGTGGGTCAAATTCTGTAGTGCCCTATTTCAAAAAAAAAATTTTTTACGTTTATTTTAACCAAAAATATTTGAAAAAAAAAATTGTTTAAACAATTTATTAATTTACAACTAAATAGTGCACTAAAACTTTTTAAGACCTTTCATATAAAAAAAGAATCATCTCAATATCTGCCATAGTTTTTGCGTTATTTGATATAAACTTTTACATTGGAACTTAGGTATGCCCAGAAACGCAAGGAACGGCCTTAAAAGTAGCTGTCATTCCTGGACATGGCAAATGACAGTACTTTTTCTTGTTTTCTCTGTCTTATGTGGTACTACTATTACACATATTTACTTACGGTTATATTTAAGTTGAAAAACAAAATTGTATACTGAAAACTTTAAGAAATAAAGAAACCTGGAAACTTTACAATTAATCAGTTGTTGAAACATCATTGGATTGTGCATGTATATCCAACTATAATAGGTAGGAGTAAATAGTGCTTAATTGACTGATGTCACTCCTTTTGTTCATTGCATTTGAATTTTAAGCGATGAATGCCATTTCTAAGAAAAGTCTCTTTTTGTAATTGGATTTAGTAACTAAAACTTTGACTGATTCATAATTCATTATGTGTTGTTCTTTATTAACATGTTCTGCAAGGGCAGATCTTTCAGGATATAGTCTACTCTATATATATATATATAAATATATACTATATATATATATATATATACGTTTGTTGGGTTTTTGCAAAAGAATTACAAACGCTGTTTGGCCATACAGATGGAGAGACCTGATTTCTCCAAATAAAATTGTAAAATTGTAACAGCTACTCACTTCGTCTAAACACGCTTTTAACGTTTACAAGAAACATAAATATATCGAAAACCTTTTAAGGTTTAAAAATCTCAGAGCTCGAAGCAGACAATTAATCAAAAAAGCAAAACGAGAAAGTTGGAACAAGTACGTTTCTTCAATAAATCTTTCCACTCCCTTAGGCAATATATGGAATAAAGTTCGCAGAATAAAAGGGACAAAATACTTTCGAGGTATAGATACTATGTCATACAATAACCAAACGCATTCAAACAAAGAACATATTCCAGAAATACTAGCAGATATATACAAACTTAATTCCGGTGATTCCAATTACAGCCCCTTCTTTCTAGAGCACAAAAAACTAACGGAGTCTTCAAATATACAAATCACAGAAAGCGACAATCCAATAAACAAACCAGTAAATCTTCAAGAATTAGAATTTTGTTTAAGTGCAAAAAATTCGAGTCCAGGACCTGATGATATCCACCCTATTTTCTTACGAAATCTTCCTCTGAATGCAAAGCTAATATTAGTTGATGTTTTTAATAATATTTTTATTCACAACGACTTTCCTGATCTATAGTCGCAAGCAACTATAATTTCAATCCTTAAATATAATAAACCAAAAGATGGTCCAAATTCCTATCGTCCAATATCACTTACGTGTTTTACCTGCAAACTTTTAGAAAAAATCCTTAATTATTGTCTTAATGGTACTTCGAAAACAATAACCTAATAAGTATTAGACAAAGTGGATTTCGTACGGATAGATCCACAACAGATAATCTAATAACACTTGAATCAAGTATACATAAATCCTTTCTGCACAACCAAAAACTTACTGCCGTATTTTTTGACATAACAAAAGCAGTTGATAAAACATAAAGACATCTTATACTAAAAACACTTTAAGAACGGGATGTGCAAGGGCACATGTTGTCCTTTATTAAACATTTTCTAGAAACACGAACTTTTCGAGTTAGAACCAATGGATTTACATATTCCAGACGAGTACTTCAAAACGGCACTCCACAAGGATCTACTTTAAGTCCTACTTTATTTGTAATTGCAATATATAGTATTATAAATCAAATTAAACTACCTGTATTTATTAGCCTATATGCACATGACTTAGTGAACAAATTCCCTTTCGTTGGCTCAGTGAAGATGTTCGTTCAATTGTAATAGTTCAGTCCAATTTCGGATATGAATTCTGAAGATTTGATATTGGACACTTAGTCATTTATCTAAAAACAAACAATGTAACTCTGGGAACACATATACTACAAACTATCTGACACACAATTGAAAGCTGTTCGCAAAACACGGGTTTTATATTCTCTAGTAAAAAGACACGTTATTTATTTTTTAGCAAAAGAAAAAATTATCCTAATGTTCAATTAACACTAAATGGAGTTGTCATAGAACAAGCAGAAGAAATAAATTTCTTAGGACTTTCTTTTGAACGTAACTTTAACTGAGAAACTCACATCACCAATCTGCAACGTTCTTGCCAATCCAGAATTAATCTACTAAAAATGCTGTCAAATACCTCTTGGGGGCAGATACAACAACCTTACTTACTCTATACAGATCACTAATACCAGACTAGAATATGGCTGTTTATGCTACGATACTGCTAACAAAACGTCTTTATTGACTACATTCAAAATATATGCTTGACATTAGTTTTATGTGCCACAAGAACTAGTCCAGTAAGTAGCTTACAAGCTCTGGCTAATGAACTGTCCTTAAGCCAACGTAGGCAACTACTATCACTATATTAAGTTTTAAGCCGAATTTCAGCAAACAACAGCTACGTAACCAACTCAACAATATTTTGCAGAACAAATATATCGTCCGATCTTTACAGAAACATTGCAATAAAAAAAACTACCATTTTCTGAGTGAATTAAACGTATTGGACTTAATTTAAAACAGTTCAGTCTTATTATGCCTATTCATGTAAATTTTCCTACTTGGATGAACAAACCTAAAAAAATAGACACGTTTCTAAAAGAACTCCCAAAACATTCCACATATCCTTTCCTTATACAGCAAGCTTATAAAAATGTAATATCCTAATACCCAACAACCTATCAAATCTTCACTGATGCTTCCAAATGTTATGAAGGACATGCTGCAGCCTACATCTACGAAAACGACAAGTCTACCATACGAATCCCAACAAATTGTTGTATATATACCGGAGAACTTACTGCAATTCACCAGGCTATGAAAAAATGTGGTGCTGTCAATGAAAGCAAATTTGTTATCATCACCGATTCAATGAGCGCGTTACTTGAAATAAAACAGCTATATACAACTCACGCCATACTTGTCAAGATCAAAGACGAGCTATCTTATCTACAGATTTAATAAAAATATATTTCCTTCATCTGCGTACCTTTCCATATAGGAATTAGTGCTAATGAGGAAATGGACTCTCTGGCAAGCAACGCAACAACCGACCAAAGTATTGCTATTATAAATCAAATGCCTTGGACTAAGCACAAAGTAAATATTAAAGCCCACATGTACAGAGCGAGGCAAACTACATGAGATCATACTGCCAACAAACTCAGGAAATGTCTAAGTCAAGTAGGAATCAAACTGATCTTACTAAGTAGTAGAAAAGACCAAGTCATCTTTAACCGACTTTAAATAGGTCATACTTTCTTTACCCATAAGCATATCTTCAACCAGGGCCCTGCTCCGATCTGTACCAAGTGCAACCCTCAGTTGTCAGTGAAATATATAATTGTCGAGTGTCCAGTATACCAGAACAAAAGAATCGCGTGTGCCCTTAGTGACAATTTAAAAAGTGTACACACGTCAAACTTATAGTCTTTATTAAGTTATCTTAAAATGACTAAACTATATACGAGATTGTAAAAAAAATATTTTTCTTTTATCTAACAATATGTATCTTACAGTTTGTGTATGTTCCCCCGTTAATCACCCTAAGTGGTTGATGCGAAATAAAAAAAGAAAAAAAAATTGTAATTTAGAATATAATATATGCGAATGACACTAAGTAATCGATATAGTAATATGATACACTACAATTGAACTACAATAATTTCTTATGTTCATGTAATCTGAAAACACTCGTTGTTATAACAAATATTCTCTCTCAAATACCCATTGACTTATTACCATCTAATCAATCTTCTTTACCTTCCTTATACAGTTCCGCCACTCGTCAGAATTTCAAATCAGAATGTTGCCGCGGCAAATGGATCAACAGCGGTCTTAGAATGTGAAACAGAAGCCTTTCCAGAACCCCTTCGGTAAGTCTTCAATCAAAATTATGAATTACGTTTATACCTTTTTTGTAGCCGGTGTTTGCCTTCGGGATATTTTTATGAGTAAAGAAAAGGTGAAAGCCAATATTGGGATTGCTGAGGATGAAAAATTAATTAGTACAAAGGGGATAAAAATGTTACTTAAATTAAAAAATAAGTAGGAGATAAGACTTTTATACAACAATAAAAAACAAAAGGGTTTTTTTTATTTTTGAATACTTTATTTTATTCTAAAGTAGAAATTATAATATATCTAAAAGGTTTAATGAAATATCCATTTTAAAAATAATAATACATACTCGGTTTCATCGTTCTTGTCGTGTGCCTGAAACAAGCTACTACGGAACTTTTAATATTCGTCTCTCTCTGATACACAGATGCGTAATTCAATTGTGCGAGTCACGTTCGTCATGGTAAAGTGCGATGAGAAGGGAATGAAGAGATCACTCACGTCTCCAAGTATTGTAGCAATAACACGGATGCGTTTTTCCGATACTGTGTCGGTGATAAGTTCGGCCTCTTTACGAATACAGATAACTGCCAGTGACGTGTTTTTTTTAACATGTTACCCTGATCTGTGCAGGTTTGAAGTAGCTGATGAAATAGTTTTTATAAGTAAACAGTTTTTAATTAATTAATATTTTGAGCCTTTACTGTGTGGAATTTCATTACATAAAATAATACTCTCGACACCTTAAAAATTACAGTTTATTATAAATTAACTCTCTCTCTTCTGATACCCATTGCAATAATGACTTGTGGCATTGTTCTTGAATGAGCTGGCTAATAGGTTTATAATTGTAGCAATTACCATTGATATTTTATGTTGTTTTAGTGGATTTTAGTCAGTCATTGTTGGAATTTGTTCCGAACAGTTTTACTTATTATTTTTTGTTGTGAATAAACTAATTGTTCTATTTAATAAAAAAAATGCCGGGAGAAACGATAACAGGAGAAATGCGACAATGTGTAGTTCATTTATTGGAGTATTTTAAAAAAGAAAAAGAAAACAACGGACCTTTTCTTTCGTTATCATCGGTACATGAACGAGTAGCGGACGCTTTGAAAATCAGTTTTCGCACAGTGACAAGAATAAAGAGTGAATACAAGACTGGGGCAGCTCTTACTACACCAGGAGAGTCACGTAATGTACAAAAAAAAGACTAATGATGTCAGCGATACTATAAAAGGAGAGATTAGAAATGTACCGTATGGCATGAAAGTAAAAGGAGAGTACGTTACAATTAAAGTTCTAAATACACAATTAAGAAACAAGCATCTCTATGACGGTTCTGATACAAGTTTGTGGCGACTTATGAAAAATTGTGGGTTTTCATACAAACTAGAAAATAGTAGACGAGTGCTATGTGAGAAACCCTGTATTGTCTCCAAACAACTGTATTTTTTGAGGCATTATATGAGAAATTTTTCAACTCCAAGCCCACTTCAGTTCGTTTTTTTAGATGAAACATGGATATGTTATATATTATAGGGGCATATAAACGTACTTGGCAAGATGACTGTGTGAAAAGCATCAGAAAAGAACACGAAAATACAGGTAAACACTTTGTTGTTTTACATGCCGAAAGTAGGCAAGTATCTGTTAAATATGCTGGATTACTGTTTTTTACGAAGTCGAAGAGTGCAGACTACCATGATTCTATGGATAAAGAGTCTTTTAAAAAGTGGGTCTACGAAAAGCTGATACCAATGTTGGATGAACCATCTCTAATTATTATAAAGAATGCTTCATATCATAGCTCCTTCATAGAAAAGTAACCGAATGCTAGTTGGAAAAAATCGGACTTACAAGAATGGTTACGAGCGAAAAAAATAATTTTTGACGACGATTGGGGAAAGACAGAGCTACTTGAGAGAGACTTGAGTCTTTGTCGCTATAATAAACCACAAAATACCAGGTACGTTATAGACGAGCTACTCCAAGAACATGGGCATCAGGTTTTGAGATTGCCTCCATATCACTGTCAATATAATCCGATTGAGTTGGTCTGGGGCATTTCTAAACAATACTATGATCGTCATATTGGAGAATATGGACGTGGAGATGAAACAGTGAAAAAAGTTTGGAGCGATGCATTAGATGAGTTGAGTTAACCATACTGAAAAATTAATTCAGGACGACTGGGCAAAAATGGTCACATATGATGAAAATGAAAGTAGGATTATCATCGATTTGGCGAAAGATTCCAATGATGAAGACAGTTCCAGTGAAGACGCTGACTGATTAGCTAATTAATCAAGGTCAGTACGTTGTAACAGTTCAGAATTCGCTACAGTGCTTAAAACTTAAAAAAATCTGTATCATTTTTTAATTAAAGTGGGTTAAATAATTAACACTTTTTTGGGTATATTTCAAAATCCTTTTAAAATGTACTTTTCGTTATATCCTGTCCTATTGTACTGCAAGCTAGAAAAGTACTTCTTCGCAATTTATACGTATATTCCGTTATTAGAAATTTAATGAAAAATAATTTATAATTTTCTTTTATAACTATTATTTCGTTTGACATGCTACATTTTGCTCCGGCACTAGAGGAGGTAAACGAATCGAACTTAGACAAGAAAAGACAGATGAAACAACTTATTGCAAGTGTTTTTACACGCACATGCCAAGAACGATGAAAACGTCTATACTATACTATATTTCATAAATACATATATAAAACAAACATACCTTTAGCTCCATTTACAAAAAAATGTTCATTGATTTACATTTTTTAATTACAATTTTTATATTAGTTAAGTATATTTCCGTTTGCGTTCATAAAATCTATATTTTTAAATGGTTTTATTTTTATCCATAAATAATGACATTATTTTATTACTTAGGGGAAACTGGTGTTGATTGTAACAAATATCACAAATTGATTTTTTTTGACTAAGTTGAGCTTTATTAAACTTTTAATTTATTCTAACCTACACTCTGTAGAGACTCTATTGTTGAATTCAGCTATTGCCGTTCCATGATACTTGAATTCTCTAACACGCTCAAAGTTAAAGTCATCGATGGTGATGTTATATTCATTTCGTCTTGTTTTCGTTGATTTGGAACCCCATCTGCTCTGCTTTCTCCTCGAATCGCACAAAAGTCTTCTTCATCCTTAATCGTGTGTCTCCTATTATATCGATATCATCTGCAAATGCCAGTAGTAAGTTTGGTCCTTCTCGATTGTATTCGGTTTTTCGATTCTTGCACTTCTGATTATGTACTCCAGAGCTAAGTTGAAGAGTTGTGGTGAAAGTGCATCTATCTGTTTTAGACCATTATTTATTTCAAAAATATCTCCGAGTATTGTTGTCCAACCCTTACCTTACATCGTACCCATTCCATACACATCCGTATTAACCTGACCAGTTTTTTTGAAAAGCCAAGTTCCTACATCGCTGTCCACAGTCTGGCCCTGTATACTCTATCAAATGCTTGTTTAAAATCTATGAACAACTGATGAAGCTCACGATCAAACTCTAGGCATTTTTCCATTATTTGTTTTATTGTGAATATCTGGTCAATAGTAGAGCGGCTCGGTCTAAATCCGCATTGATAATCTCCAACGATTTCTTCTGTGTATGTTTTGGTTCTTTCTAGCAGTATGTTGGCAAAGATTTTGTAGGTGGTGTTTAGGAACGTTGACCTAGTTTTTAATAGAGCAAAACCACTATTAAGTGACCTAAAAAACTTCTGCTCCGCTGCAAAAACAGGAACAAGAACGGCCACAATAATACAGTGGGTAGCTGACAATTCACTGGAATGGTGGAGGAACTTACCAGAAGAAAGTTCATTATAGACCATTCGCCAAAATTTACAGCAGACTTAATAGACAAAGACAGAAACATAGTCAAAGCCATATTAGGTGTGTTAACACGGCACTATTTATAAGCTGAAGAGGTAGATAAACTTGCTGGTAAATACAGCACAACATGAAATAATGTTAACATCAAGCAAAGAGGAAAGTACTGAGGAAAACTATTGTTGTTCTGGTGACGTCCTGATGACGCGTCTGGACGGGAATGAAAGATATATTTTTTTAGTGCAGTAAAAGTTTTTAACTGCAGAAAAAGCAAGAGACTGCCCAAAAACTTACATTGGTCAAACTGGTAAAACTTTTAACAAACGTATAGCAAAACATAAAAGACCTTTCAATAATAGAAAAACAGATTCTACATATGCACTTCACCTTCTAGATCATAATTATTCCTTTAATGACGAAAGGCATAATCTTCACACCCAAAAATTAAGGCCTTAAGCTATTTTTGTCAGAATCTAGAGAAATGTTTGAAATAACAGATTAAAACATACAGACATAATATTCTTAATGGCCAATTCGAGACCTAGAGTTCTCTCCTCTTCAACTTATTCAGTTGCAGATTATAAAGTGTAAACACTTACCAAACATAGACTACTTGAGAAAGGCCCTCTGCCGGAATAGCCTTAGTGATAAGATTAAATAATAAATTTTGTTTAAGTTTTGAGTATTTTGTTGTTTATAAAATGAATTTCCATCAAGTAACGGTCGAATCCATCAAATTTATTTATTTAAAACTGATATTTTCCAATTTTTTTTCTTCATTTTGTGTAGGTATAGAGGTAAAATAAGATTTTTTCACATATATATTTTTTTTACTTTAAATTAAATTTTTTGCAATAAATAAATAATATATAGTGCATTTCTGTGTTAAATTTTTTTATTACAGTGTGGCATTATTTTATCCATTTCAAGATAGCCCTATAAATAATATAGTTCTTTTTAGATCAAACAGTGTTGTTATGTTAAGAGAACTTGAAATAATACATTATTTCCAGCTACTGGGAACGTTCCGATGGGCGGTTGCTGGAAAACACCGACAGATTCAAGATAGACAATTCTCTCGAGAGAAACGGCTACAGATCCAGAATGCAACTGAACATTACGAATATAAATAGCAAAGATTTCAACTACAAGTATTATTGCATCAGCAAGAATGAGCTACAAACTACCAGGGGAGAATTTCAGCTAGGAAGTAAGTGCCACCAAAACAAAAAGAATGTTTGTAGATATTAGTTGCGAATTAAGTAAAGTAATCGTCAGGAAAGATAAGATATTTTGTAGAAAAAGGACAGAGATTAGGTTATATAGTACTGGCGCTTAGTGTAAAAAGTAAAAGCACATTATAAAGTATGGAATATCTTTACAATAAGCAAAAATTTATCTGGTGTAATTTTTATTAATATTGTACTCTAGTCTATATAGAGGTAAAACTCATTAACTGCAAAATAAGTACAGCATAGATATTCAACATTTTGTTCGTTTTGTGCTTTATAATTTTATTTATGATTACTATAGATAGAAATGATATTCAAATCATGATTGTGTTGCTTATGTGAGTACATTTTAAAAAAGGAAAAAGAAATAATTAGACTTACTCACAATCAATTTAATTTTACTACCTAAGACGACTGGTTTCGCTTTCTAAAATTTGCAAAGCATTAGAAAAGCTCATATTAGGGTGCTGTCTTATAAGGATATAGATAAAAAAGTTATAGATCAAAAAAAGTTTTAGTAATTATGCCAATATTACATGTCTGTATTAATTAATATGCATAAATTGCATTTGCAGACAGAGTAACAACCCACAACTTGTTAAGATAAAAAGTCTGTTGAATTGTGATACATTAGAAACAAACAAAATACTACCCTCATTCCGGTACCAGAATTACTATATAGTGGTTGGTGATTCATAGTTCAAACTTTCCTTTATTACTAATAATAAGTGATCGTGACTTTAACCGAAGATCACTTATTATTGATGATGTTGACATAATTGCAAGATCAAGAAGAGAAATTATAGAGAAAATGCCAAATATACAAAACTTTAATAAGACCGGTACTCACATACGGCTCAAAAACCTGGACACTCAGTAAACGAGAGAAAACGTTGTTAGCCACTTTCGAAAGAAAAATCTTGCGACACATATATAAGGGCACAAAAGAAAACGGAATATGGAGAAGAAGATACAACTTTGAACTATACAAAATATACCAGGATCCGGATATTATAACATTCATTAAAATAGGACGCCTGCGTTGGATAGGACATGTAGGAAGAATGAAAGAAGGCGAAATACCAAACAAAATATTCAAACAGATGCCAGTAGGAAAAAGAACAAGAGAAAGACCGAAGCTGAGTTACTTAGAACAAATAGAAAATTATGTAACAACCTTAAAAATAAAAAACTGGAAAAAAAACACGAAACAGATCAGAATGAAGAAGAATTCTGGAACAGGCCAAGACCCAAAAAGGGTTGTCGAGCCAATGATGATCATGACAGCAGGGAATGACTGAATATATTTTGTTACCAACTGGATAGACTCTTCATTAGTAGCGTTTGCAGGGATTTTGCGACCCCTTTTATCATCATTTAAAAAACAACCTGCTGAATTGGTTCCTTCTAAGGCCATGTTTATGGGACCATGTTTACAAGTGAGCCAGTTGCATGTTCACAAGAAGTAACTTGTAGAATACAACAATACTATATATATATGTATATATATTATATATATATATATATATAAATATATATATATATATATATATGTAAAAATCTTATCTCGATCTATTCTGTTCAAAACTAAAACCAACAACGCATAGGAGAGATCAAAGAATTGCATTTATAAAATATCATGTGAATCAAACACTTTTGTTAGGGACAACCTCACGATTACTAAGTATTAGGATAAATGAGCATAAATCATCGATTAAAAATAAAGACTTTGACATATCATATAAAGACCTTTGGCAAATATGCGTGGTATAATCAAAAAAGTGGACAGCAAAACGAAGCAAAATCAAGAAACGACCTTTATCTTGCTAAATGTAGAGATATCTGGTTAATCAAAATTAAATAATCAAAATATAATAATATAACAATTTTGAGTATGTACGATTAGCAGTTTTGGTATATGTGAGAGAATCCACATGAACATAAAACTTAAATAATAAAACTTTTCTAAAAAATGTGCTGTTTATCGATGAAGGCAATTGTATTACAAATATAGGGTATTTATTACAAAGTTCTCGTTATAGGGCAACGGATAATCTCCATTGGGAAATAAAATGTAAAATTCAGTATTCTCAAAGTAATCAACATCTGGATGTGATACTCAACGAGCAAATTATTGCCGCTTTGGGTTTTGAATAAAACATGGACATACACAACTTTTAATATTATTAACAGCTCTTGTGTAACGCCATTCATGACTTTCCAATTAAGAAACGAACGAATTTATTTGTCCAGTTTGTTATATCAAAGCTCCGATGCTAGAGTTTACCGATATTTTTTATAGATCAGTGAACTAACTGTGATAGTCTAGTTATAAATTTTCCATCCTGATTAAAATATTTACTCCTTACTGACACACAAGCCGAGATAAAAATTTTAAACATAAAGTTATCGATTTGAAACAATATTTTTTTGTAGAACACACTTCAAACCAATCGCTTTTCACTGAGCGGGGAAAAGGACCAAAACTTTTTGGAATTCCACCACCAGAAAAAGTATCTTTAGAAGATTTATGCGGCCCTCCAGTTCAGTGCCCGGATTGCGATTCCAAAGAACTCAAGTGTTCAGCAGGTGTATCGCTAGTCGATTTGATTAGTCATTGGGAAGTAAGGCCGTATCACGAAAATATTACCTACAGTGGATTTCCTAATAGAGCAAAAGGTAAGAAATTCTGAAATACTTATTTTTAGTTTATGTCAAATATACGTGGTTTGGTTTTTATATGACAAATATTATTTTCAATTTATTTAACAGAGTTGAGTAAATATCATGAAATCGTGATGACCTCCTTGGTATATCTAGAGAATTTAAAAATTCTTTTGGGTAACTTACGGCTTTGTCTTCATTACCAATACTGTCAACTGATTTAAAAAGTATCAAATCACCTGGTAACAACTGTTGAATCCGGAAGTTAATTTTGTAACATCAACAGTTTTCGTTACCAAAATTGCGCGCTCAATCAGCCAATTCTCCCTGAGACCATGCGTCTCAAAGACTCCGCACGTTTATTAACGCGTCTGAGTTTCTCGCCACAACTACGTAGCAACCTGTAATTCGGTGTACCTTGCTAGCTTTTAGAGTATATTCGAATCTGGTAATAAGAGGTACCTCGCTCGTCCCATTTTCGAACTATTACCGTCGCAGGCAGAGTCTACTAGACGCAAGGTCACGCATGGATAGTTCTCGTAAAACTGTAAGAGTATTAGACTATGATTTCGAAGAAGTGTGCACAAAATGGTATCATCATCATCACAGTCATTAACATCTTTGTAGATGTGTTGTGGTTCATAATTGGGCTTTAGCAGCTCGGACAGTTTGATTGATAATATTTCTCCACTGGTCGCGGTCATCAGTTATATGTATTGCCTCAGTATACTGTTTATTGAGAAGCTTTTTAGTAATGTCCGTCCATCGCTGTGGAGATCTTCCGCATTGGCGTTGAGTCTGAGGCCTTCCTTGGACCACCAACCGCTCCATTTTGTGATCACTTCGATGGATATGGCCAAAGAACTTTAAAATTCTAGAGTAAACGGTACTGGAGAGACGCTGATCCGGTTTAATTTCATCCAGAACCGAGATATTTGTACGGCGAGCCGTCCATGGAATTCGAAGCAGGCGTCTCCATGTCCACATTTCAAAGACATCTATACGTCGTCGATCTGATTCTTTGACTGTCCATGTCTCGCATGCATAGTCAAATATGTAAAAGACCGGAGTTGAAACGAGTCTCTTTTTGTTTGTCATAGTAATGTGACGATCACGCCAGACCCCGTTTAGTTCACTCATTGCTGCTCTTGCTAGTTGAATGCGTCTTCTAATTTCGGATTCACAACTGCCTGTGATGTTAACTAGAGCTCCAAGATATATCATAGATGAGACTACCTCGCATCCCGCAATAGGTTGGGTTTCAGGAAACTGTTGTTGCCGATCAATAACCATGATTTTGGTTTTGTTGTAGTTAACCATGAGTCCAAATTTAGTACTTTCTACCTCGAGTTTTTTTAATAATTTAATAATTTCTTCTGGAGTAGAGGCTAGAAGTGTAGTGTCGTCTGTGAAACGCAAGTTAGATATCTTAACAAATCAGTTATATATAATAGTTATATGTATAAGTTAGATATATCAAAATGGTATAATGAGGCGAATAGTGACATTAGTGAGGATGATGGGGAAGAAGGTTATTATAAAGACAGTGATAATTTTACGGACAGTGAATAAGAACTAAGTAAAACTGAACAGCAACAAGACTCAGAAATGATAATTAGCGAAGATGAAGAAGAGTGAGTTAATTCCAGCAATGAATACTTTGGAAAGAATAGGTAAAAGGAGCCAACTAGAAACGTCCGTACACCTGCTCACAATATTGTTCTACTCCCATCAATCCGTTCAAAAGTAGAAAAGTCAACTGTTTATTATTTTAATAAATTGTTTTACCAGATATGTACAGTCTTGTTGTCAAGAGAACTAATAAAAAACTTTTCGGCCAAAATATCAACAATATAAAAAATACAAATCCGAGTTGGCTGATACTGATGAAATAGAATTCAGAGCTTGCTTGGGACTGCTTCTTTATACTTCTATTTGAAGTAAAATCATGAGGATGTTCAACGTCTGTTGGCCCAGTTGGCCGCCTTAAGGTTTGACGATGCCTCGGACCGAGAATAAAGAGCAAGTGAGAATTCAGCTGCTGCTATCCAAGAATTCTTTGACTTATTTGTAAGCAGTTCAAAAGATGCATTTACGGTTGGAAAAGATGTGTGTGCAGATGAAATTTTGGTAGACTTCAGAGGCAAATGTCGCTTTAAAATGTATCTATCTATCTATCTTATCAGCCTTAAACGCCCACTCTTGGGCATAGGCCTCTCCTGTTAATCTCTATTGGTCTCTATTTTGGGCGATCTGCATCCAGTCCTTTCCTGCCGTTCTCTTAAGATCGTCAGTCCATCTCATCTGTGGTCTTTCTCTTTTTCTTTTCTTTTCCCATGGTCTCCAGTGTAGAATTCGCTTATTCCATCTTTCATCTTTTTTGCCGGAGAGTGTGACCGGCGAAGTTCCATTTATTTTATATTATATTAAAATGTATAGTCTCAGTAAACCCTGTAAATATATGGTATAAAAATGCTTACGTTTATGCTGTGAAAGGTTTAGATGGATTTAGTCTCACAAATGTAGAAAGAAGAATGAGCATACCTACTCAAGCAGTTATAAGATTAATCAAATATCTTTACAATACTAATAGAAATGTAACTGGCGACAACTAGTTTAGTTTAGTTGATTTAGTACATCATCTACAACAACATAACCTTACTTACGTTGGCACAATGCGAAGAAATAAAAAAAAATTCCTTCACAGTTTCTTTCGCGACCAAATTTGAATTGTAATGAAGGCGACACTTTTTATCGATTTACCAAAAACCTAACACTTTTATCTCGTACAACTAAGAAAAATAAAGCTACAGATTTCCATATTTGATTATTCCTAATTGCAGTTTTAATCTATTAAACAGTAAATTCAATGCTGAAATCTACATTTTTTTTTCGTAGCAGAAGGAACTTGCACATTATTATTGCAGTACTTTTTAAAACATTTTTGGAATAATGGATTATCCAATATTGCAAATGGAATATTGCAACTAATCAGCAAACTGCAGAGGTCCTTAATAAATTGTTGTTGATCAGAATCTTTTGTTTTATTTGTAGTTATGAGCTGCTGCGATTTTTTTTAAACTCCAAGTTTCTAGTCTAATTGCCTTTACGGTATAATAAAATACAGACCAAGATAAATAGTTCTTTCTGAATAAATATTAATTTAGTTTTTTTTAAACATACTTGACTGTGCTAAGGAAATATTATTATTAGAAACCGGATACACTTCATAAAGTTGATGTTTTTATTTCCCTAAAACTAAAATGAGAAATTATCACTCCCTATTTACGAAGTTAATGGTAAAAGGGCTCAACTTAATTATTACATTTCTGTTCAGCAAACTTTATTACTCGAGGACGAAAAAAGTTAATTGGATTTTCATGATGCTTTAATTTCCCACAGATGCACATTGTCTTTTTTCCTGGCTTCTCCTTTCATTTATTATCGTATAAGAGAACTTATAATGGATTATTGATTTGAATACTTTGAAAGTAATTTATTTGCTAGCGAAGATTAACTACAGGACCAATAAGACAAATCATTTGCGGTGCATTGGGGTTAAGGGTAAGGCCCTACTTGGATAATCATAGATCCCTACCGGGTATATATATATATATATATATATATATATATATATATATATATATTTATATATATATATATATATATACAGTATAGGTAAAAGTTTATGGTAGGTATGGACCTTACATGAGATGGAGTGAGAAACAACTGTTTAAAAAGAGAGATATATATTATATATATTATATATATTATATATATATATTTATATATATATATATATATATATATATATATATATATATATATATATTAGGTGTCCGCCTTTTATATCACCAAACATAAATGAGTGGATATGGAATGGATATAATAAAAAGGGGAAATTCAACGTTGCCAAACTTATTGGTTTTATTTGACCTGTTGTCTTTTTCGCATTTGAACAATGCTCCAAGATAATGAAATTTGGGCGAAATGGATTTAAATGGCAGCTTATTGTTTTTTATTGGGAATCTGCCACAATTTTACTTTACAATAAGTGTAATATAACATTTTGATTTATACTTCGGAAATCGTTTTATATCAACAATATTTATTAATGTTTAGTATTTTAAAAACGATTTCCGAATTAAAAATCTAAACATCAAAATAAGCTTATTTTAAAGTGACATTATGCCTTATTTCCAATAAAAATATTAAACTGCATATAAATAAAAAAGCTTCGTACAAAACTATTTGCCAACGTGGCGTGTCGCGTGGTCAAATCACCGAATCAAAGCGTAAACAGGTATTTACGAATAGAGGTGGGTCATTGACGTCGCAAAACCGATTTTCGTAAACAAGTAACTATGATTTTTTAATAGTAGTTTCAAGTAAGAAACTACCTACATAAACAAACATAATGGCTATTATCGTTTATCTGTATATTTATTGAAGTGAAGGAAACTAATAAAATATTTTATTATAACTTGAAAACTAAACTAAACAATACAAATAGTAAATCGTACCTACGTTTACATTACACGTTATTATTAAATCACGAATCGTCTAAATTGACATTTAAAAACATAAGTTTTTTTACTTTACTTCTTATTAAACGTGTTTTTCTTTTATTTAAAATTAAACCTGATTTTGAACATGTGTTCACATTTACAATACTTTATGAATAAAGTGGTTAAGTTAGGAGATACATGGCGATGGTTTTTCCACCATTGTAATGGACTCTCGCTACAGGTGTACGTTTAGATGAGTCATGTCCAATTAATTGATCAAAAATACACCATGGACTTAAGTCATCCTTATCGGTTTATTTTTCTTATACTGGTTGATTTTCAATAGTACAATCTTCTTGTTCTTTAATTATAGAAGTAACCAGCTTCTTAACTCTTTCTTTTGTTTTTTTAGCGTCATTTTTATCAGAAAATCCCTGCATTTTAAATCGTAAATCCATAAACGTACATAATGACAATATGCCACTGTATTCTATCCCTCTAAATCTT